TCTCTTTTGCTCTTTCTCTTTCGTTCTTACTTTTCCTCCCCTTTCGTTAACTTTAGAAATACAAAAATTCCAAGAAAACAATATCCCAAGAAGAAAAAAAAATAAAGTTTACTGAAAATATGGAGACAGCCAGGTGGGTGTTTATTTTTTTCTTTTTTTTTTAGGAGACCGGCTCTTATGATCTTTAGACGTTTGGAATTTTGCATGTGGGTTCTTCTTTAAATCTTTATTTTAATAAAATGTTTATTAACTAACATTTTATTCATTATTTCTTTTAGGCTTTTTATAGGAATCTAGCTCTAAACTCGAAGACACCAAATATTCTGGTAGGTTATCATACCAATAACTTTTTAGTATAAAAAAAATTTAATTTTTTGTTTTCTATTTTGTAGGGACTCCAGCTTCGGTCCCTATTTGATTTTGGTAGTCGTACGTTTACAAAATCTAATAAAAATTATGCTAATACATACGAAAGTTTAAAATTTTTGCACAACTTTGAATTTCGTACTAGCAAATTTGTTATTGACAAATACTGTATATTATATTACTGCATTTTTTTTATCTCTGAATTAATGTTATGGACAGATTCCTTAGTAAGTTTGATCACTTTCGAAAACTTACTTTAAAAAAAAATTTTATTAATTATTATTATTTTTTTTTTTTTTATTGAAAGACTTTTGCTCTGATTTAACCACTGGCAGAATTCTGGGAAATAACTTTAAAAACTATGAAACCTGAGTAAGTTTTCAAAAATTTTCAAAATCTATTTTAAAAAAAATGTAATTTTTGTAGAATTCACTCGCTAACGTTAAATTTGGGCTTTGAATGCAGACTAGTTTGAACGGAATGTATGTAAGATGTTACATTCTGATGTATAAATATGAAAGACTAAAGCTATCTTTTTTTCATTGTTAAACACTTCTATTTTAGGATCATACTATATACCGTAAATTGACTGTTGAAGTTGAATTATTGAAGCAGATGACCTGACCATAGACATGTAAGATTCGGCCTCTTTTAATCCATTTCAACATTTATTTTTTTAATGAAACATTCGTTAATGTATCTATTTTTTTTGTAGGTTCAGTCCTAGGTTCGGATTCAATGGAACATTGGATATTAGGAATATGTTTAACATTCTTCTTATTTACTATCTTATAGGTTCTGGTTGGTTTTGACTTTTGAATTATGTTTCTTTTATTTTTCTATTTAGACATTTTTATCCATTTTATACAAGAAATTATATTAATACTTAATAATGTATAGTTAGTGTTGCAATGTAAATATAGCATTATTTATTTTATTAAATATATATAATTAAAGTATGTTTAGAACGTTGTAAATAAATAATTGTATATTGACTGTATATTCGTAATAGTGAAATGGGTATAGTGAATTCGTTGTTGCAGTAAATTAAAAAAGCATAGTGGCGATACATTTTCTCACTTTTACAATGCGTCGTATGACGTTCAATAACGACGCACAAAACAACGGCTTAATCACGTGATTTTGGCGTAGTACCAACGTTGTTTAAAAATATGATGTTTCTGCAATGAAGTCCAAATCAAAATCCACAAGTTTTCCTAAAAATGAGAAAATAAATTATCCTTATTTTTTAATAAAAATTACAACATTCTTTATTTTTATTAATTGAGTGTTATTAACTATTAAAGTTGATATCTAACTCTTGGTAGTAAGAAATGTATCTGATTCTTATATTTAGTTGCAGAAGCATGCTAGAAATTTTTATTATATTACTATTAATTTTTTTATGAAAGTACTAGATTTTGGTATAAGTGTTTTGAACAATATTGATCTTTTTTTCTGGATGAGTAACATATTCACGGATTTGCTCATATAAGTACCATTGTCATTCTGCAGATAATTTCCTTGGCAACAATATATTTGGAAAACTAATTGAAAAAGTTATATTTTTTTAAGAATTAAAATTTCTCCATCAACTTTTGTTTGAACATTTACTATTTCAATTTTTTCATTTAAAATTTCAAAATAATACTGCTGAATTTCCATTTAAACCATAAATTGTTTGTGCTGTATTAAATCCTCCAGTAGTAGCATTATGAACTATTTCTATCATATCTGAAAGATCTTAAATTTCTGAAACTCTCATTTTTAATTTAATTAATCCAAAAAATCCATTAGGAGAAAATTTGTATGACCAGCTAACATAAAGCAGTATTTAATCCAATCATGTAAACTTACAATTGATCCATAATTTTTGATTATCCAATAGCTATTCACCTTGTTTTGAATTATAGGCAACTTAATAACAAATGCACATCAGAGCAGTAGAGACAAAATATTTTTGATTCTATTTTTATTTTTAAAATTTATTTTAATTAGTTTTAAGATAATTTTGATGAATAAACAGGATGCATCTATTAATTGAAGCAGCTTGGTTCATCTTAAAAAGTTTTCTAAATGGAATAATATCATTGCAACCTTGTTTTGATAAAAATGTGAGTTGTGTATGATATCCTATTCTAGGGATAATAACCATATTAATTAGTTAAAGAAGTTGTTTATCAGTAACTTTCTCTTTCTTTAAATTTTCACACATTGAAAAAACTTCATCTTTAGCTTGTTGAATAACATTTTCTTTCCTTAGCAAGATTAATCATACTCCAAGAAAATGAATAGATTCATTTCTACATGCTGGTCTAATATATATTTTGTAGGATTTAATGCTGTTGGCCAAGAAGTTTTTAAAAATAAGAATATGACTCTTTATTAAATAATGAAAAATTGGATGAATATTATATATAAAGATAGTTTGAGTGGTACTAACAAAGCTATACCAAAAAATACCAAAAATACAACACTTTGCATCATTCAGAATATGGACTTCATGTTTAAAAATCCTTATATAGTAGAGATAATAATTTTGATAAATTCAGTTACTTTAAATAAATGCTTTTAAACTTATAAGACTTTTCAAGTTGTTTCTTTTAGAAAGCCATAATAGTTGAATATGGATTTTTTTTGTCCAATATGTAATTGTACTTGAGTCTAAGCTTAATTTTTCACCTTCTTTTGCGAAATATGACCTGATTTGGAAGTAACAATGTTGAACTGCAACTTATTGAATTATGTAATTCTAAAAAGTATAGGTGGAATTCCACCTTGTTTTAATATCTGTTATAAACATCCTTATCAGACATAACCTTTCTACACATATGGCGTTCTCTATTTATTTGAAATTTTGGAATATTATTTTTACAACTTTAGATTTAATTGTGATACCTTTTTTTGTCTCTTATTTAGTTTTATATTATCCTGGTTGTATTGTTGTACTGTTGTACTGTATACTAACAGTATTATTTTTTTTTCTTACAATAACAAAGAAAAAAATATGCCATTATGTATTTTTAATAGTGATTAATAAAGAAGGCTTTGAATAATTAATTGTAACAATATTAATGATTTGTTTCATAAATATTTAAATAAATAATATAATTAATAGTTAAAACAAGATACTTTACTAAGAATGTTCGGAAATAAAAATGCAGATTTTCCAATAATAATATGAATATTTAAATAAAGCTATCAGAGCAGTAATATGTTGCTTGAAAGAAATCCATGTAAAACTTCAAATAATCATGCTTTGTCAGTTTGTAAAATAAGAATGAAGCAATAAGGATATTAGAAAATGTGCCAAAACCTATAATATATGATAGGCCAGTTCAATTGTTTAGCCATTTCACAATCATATAGACTTGGTAACTCATTATTGAATTTTATATGTATTTTCTACAATATGATAGATTCTTTCAAATGTAGTATCATATGCAGGAGTTGCGGTTAATCCTTTGACCTTTTGGATATATAATAAATTTTTATTTTTAAGAATTATTAGAATTCTTATAACTCTTTCAACTGGTATAAGAATATTTAGTACCATAACGTTTGAAAGCCGCAGTAACCATTTTACTCGTGACGTTTAGGTCACTTGAATGGTGCGGCGATTTTGCGCAGTAGTAATATCTTTAGTGATAGGAGGTTTGATCTGATTCCAGATAATAAGTTTAATAGTTAAATAGTAACTATTTTAAGAATTCTTATATATAACTCTTTCAACTGGTATAAGATATCAAAATAGTAACAGTTTTTCATAAGTGATGTAAAAGAAGGGGGAAAATGAGCTCTTTTAATTGACTTTCAACTTATGCTAAGCCCAATGCTATCACTATGTTACCTGTACACGAACTAAGGCTAAGCATACAAATATAGCCAAGTAGTTATAATTATCAAATATATTTATCCAATAAGAAATAAATATTATCAAATAAAAGAAGTATTAAACTATTTTGTTAATTAAATTTCAAGTACTGGTCCGATTGGCGGTGCTAAAGATGCTAAGCCGAGATAACTTAGACCGAGGCTTATAATTACGGCAATTATAATTATAGCAAACTTATATGGCTTAGTTTTTGACTCACATTATAACGTTTCAATATCAAACTATCACTAAATTGACATTTGACACATAAATTTCGTCAGAGGTGAGCATTCAGATACTAAAGACTTGACAAATAATAGTTTTTTTTAATAATGTTTAATGAAAATTCCAGAATTATTTTGATGCGTAAGATGTAATTAGTTATTACTATTATTATTATCATTATTTTGATATAATGAACCGTTTATTAAAACATCTAACAGAACAGTATCTAAGGTTTGGCCGCGATCAAAGCCGATATCCCATACGATATCGCTGTAGTATCATTACCTAGAAGAACTCAATGATGAATGTATGTGTAATTAATTATTATTAGTTATTTATAAGAATCAATTAATAGCTTTGAATAGGCTAAAATTTGAGTCTATTTCTGCAATAAACTAATTTTTTACTGAAATAACGGAAAATTGTATCTTTGTATTAGGTTTATTAGATAATTAAATAACTGAAATTATTCTTATTACTAACATTTTGCAATCAATTTTATAACAAACAAGACTCTATTATATCCACAAATTATTCAGAGTAAACCTGTCACAATAAATTTATCATAATCTAAAATATTACATTATATCCATTTAAAGTTACCTTTTTTTTTAAAAAAAAAAAAAATATCTCTAATCCAGAAGATAACTATTTATTTATTTTATTATAAATACTTTAAGGATTTAATTATCTTAAATATTTTAAGTAAATTACTTCAAAAAAATACTACTAGTACAATTTTGTATAGCATAAAAATAATACTTATCTCTTTATTATTTGAAATACTTCATAATCTTCGATAGAAAACATATCCTCAGAATCTCTTATCTTCTTTTCATAATGAGATTTTTTACAGTAATACTCGTTATAGTTTGTATTTGCATAAGAAGAAAATATAATGATATCAGTACCACCAAAAGATGGACCACGTAAAGGGTTAAAATAGAATGAAATCGTTGTATTTTCTATATTACTAATAATTGCATCTTTACAATTATTTTTATTTTTAAAAGAAAAAATAAAACTGCCAATAGTTACGCCCATATTATCAGAAGATTCCCATTTTAAAGGGTTATAACCACCAATAATTTCTTCTGAATCTTTCACTTTAATAAATGTGATAGTATCAGATTTTCCATCACATAGTTCATGAAATCTTTTTGGAGTAAATCCATCTCGGCTTCCTCTTAACAATAATTTAAATTCGTATGGTAATGGTAAATATACTCCTCTTAAATGAGAAAATTTATAATTAAGATCCACTTTATCAATCCACCTTAAAATAATTGAAGCAATATTTAAATTAACAATTTTTGAATCAATAATTTCGTCTGTCACTATGTTTCTTGGAAGTAAAATGTTTTCAGCTGGTTTGATATCAGGATCCATATAGGAATTTACTAAGTCCTCATAAAGTTGGTGATTTAGAAGTTTCTTATATGGACGAACTTTTTGTACTAATTCTTTGGATGACAAAGAAAAAAGTCTGATGAAAGATAAACATTGTTGTAAAGTATTTTTCATCAAGATGAAATCATCATCCGTCCAAGTGTCAGGGTCTGGAACAAGAGTTGGATTTTGCGCAAGACCCCATTTTAATACATGTTCCCATACTTCTATTTCTCTCATTTGTAAATCGTCCCTTTTTATAAGTGAAATTAA